GGGATATAAAGACGTTCCCTTACAGTCTGCTCCGCACGTGAAAATACACTCGAACATCTCCTCCGGACGCAGCACCGACACCACCTGCAGAGAGAAGCACATTTAATATACTTCATTTTGTATTTATTCCCTGTAACATGGGAAATACTCAAACAATACAGCAACGTCCATCACTACCTTAGCCACTGTTAGCAAGACACAGCGAATGCCAATCCCTACTTTACTACTACTTTCAACCAGAGTCCTGCACGGGTCTGATTTTCAAGACCCGCTCCCGCCCCGCACCCGTGACGTGCAATACCGAACCCGCCCCGCTACCCGCACATATTGCCAATTAGTTCCGCAACCCGACCCGACCCGTCGGCACAAGATCCGCAACCCGACCCGAAGCCGCATATATGAGCAGTGAAAACGTGCAATTATTAACACACGCAGTTGCATATTTGTCTCAAAAAGCGTGGGATGTTGGTTATTTTCTCCATCTAGGAACCAAAAGCCTCCAGACGTTGGATTTCGCTCTTGAGGAAGTGTTATTGAAAATGCTGTATTCTCCGCTAGAGCTTCACCTCAGCCATTTCGAATGTGGCGCGCTCAGAAGCAGATTGATGCGCTGCAGAGGTTATGATTATGCGCGGTCCCGCGGGGGAGAGGTCTGAGGATTTTAAACATTAAGCTAAATTATCATTATTTTAATATATTTATTATGCAACATCCGCGACCCGACCCGCATCATCTTTGTTTTACCCAGAACCTAACCCGGAAAAAAGCGTTTGAAAAAATACCACCCGCGAATCACCTTTTTTGCGGGTACCCGACTCGATGCAGGACTCTGCTTTCAACACAATATTGACCATTGATCCATCGCTAAACCCCTTCCCACTGAAAGCTAATCTAATGTTAGCTTCACACTCATCAGCAAGACACAACATTTAGTTTTGCCACTTTTCCAGTTAGGAGGAGGTGTCTCTTTTCAGTCTCTAGCCTGATCCTGCTCTAATGTCAACGCTAACGTTAGCATGTCGGGCTAACTAGCTTCTCAATGGATCAGTCGATGACGCAAATGTGTTTTATTTGGGGGCTGATCATTTTTTTAGCACAACATCATGTATGTAGACATCCAGTGCATATTTAAGCTTTTTAGTGTTTACGTTTACAAATAAGTAGCATTTTCCACCAACTCATGGCGCTATCGTTAGCTTCATTAGAGCTGTCATTGCAGCTTTTGCTAAATATTGTCTCAAATCAAGGAGCCATTTATCAAACTACTATTGATCTTGATGGCAGATCTGAAACTGTATTAATATGTGAGCAGATGTGAGGGATTTATGTTAAAAACTGATTTGTGGCTGCATTTCTTCCTCCTCTTCATTAAAGGACTTCAATAGCAGCCGCAGGCAACAAAACAAATATCAACACACAAGCAATCTGCACAGATCTGATGAAAGTCTGACCTTCCTTCATCACTCAGAGAGGCTCATAAAGTCCAAGTATTGTGATTGATGAGATATTAAGCTGCAGATTAGAGGATGACGGAGTGAGTTTGTGATTGAAAGACAGGAAGAAACAACAACAGGCGTCCACTCTCTGTAATGCAGCGAACAGATGCAATAAACTAACAGCAGAATAAATCAAGCCGGCGGGAAATTCATCATCCGCCGAAAAGAGCCGGCCGTGATTTATTTCAGAGAAAACTCCTTGAAACGCAAACAGTTTTAATAATCCACAGTGCTCAGTGACGCAGCGGAGGACAAGAAACACACTTAGTATTGACCGTAAAAACATACTCAAAGAAATTACGTCATAAAACTCAAGGTTTCTGCCACAAAGCTAAAGGTCATGACTTCCTTCTGCTACCACGGGAAATATATGATTGATGTGAGCCAGACAGGGGGGGTTAAAACATGTCATATAATTTAATTTACCGTAACGATTCCCAGCACGTATTGACCGAGGCCCCTTTCAAAACTCTGATGATTTAACGTTCAGAAAGCTCTTTATTTTTCTCATACTGCCTGTGCTGCAGCACCTCTTTTCACCCTCTGTCTGAAACCAGAGCCCACTCTGCTCTGATTGGTTAGCTCGCAATAGAGTGGCAAAGTCCCTCCCCTGCCAGGGGACCTCCATGGGACCTTATTTTGAAAAAAGTATGTATTGAAGTCAATGGAGAGAGAAAGATTATCTTTCAATCCCGTTTGAATTGTGCCACAAATTACACATATGATGTTTGTCAATTTAAAAGATAATTTTGCAAGTCAAAAAAAAAAAGTGTCGTAAAACTGTGAAGTAACACTTTGTTTGTGCTCAATGAACTACATCTCTGGTCTCGCAGAACAACACACGTCACCAAGATGGCCATCACTACTGTCTTGTCAACAAAACGATTGCCTACCCTCACTATCACCACAATGAAACACCTCCAGAAGAATGTCAAGCAAAGCTGCCTGCCTGCCTTCCTTTGATTCTCTCTGAACTGCCTGGTCTAGATAGCGTGAAGTAGAAAAGATCGCCGATGCTAATGTAGCGTTAGCATTTCTCCCCCGGGCTTAAATTGTGTATTATAAAACGATCACACCGGTGACAGTACTCTTCAAAGGGTTCACGAAATATGACTACTACTCTTACTGTTTAACATGTTGGGTCATTTTGAGTCACTTGATGTTAAGGCTAATACAAATGACAAGGCTGTAATGCTAACTAACGTGCTAGCTACTAGCTAGGTAGCTAACTTGATCCAGCCACTCCTGGTCCTTTCATCAGACGGGAAGCGAAAGAACGAGCAAGACCCATTGCTGGTATGATAACAACCTGGTACTAAGCACACAGGCATCTTGTTAAAGTTATCTTATCTTAGCCAGCGCCATATAGATAGATTATATCTATATGGCGCTGATCTTAGCTATCTCTTATTGGAGCAAAACGATTGTGACATCACTTACGCGACTCTGGGATTTGTAGTCTTTCTAGTTGCGTATTTTTCATTGTCTTATATTTCAACAGTTTTACGACAAACTGTGACTTTTTTGACATGGAAATTATTTTTTAAGATTGACAAACATCATATGTGTAATTCGTGGCACAATTCAAACGGGATCGCAAGATAAGTTTTCTCTCTCCATTGACATCAATACATTATTTTTCCGAAATATATGTTCCGTAGTGATGTCAATGCGTTCAAGAACTTTGGGATTTTAACCATTTGCAGACCATTTACATGCACTAAACCTATAGGACACACTAGAGGAAACATGTGGTGTGTTTACTTTACTAATGTATATTGCAAAACCTGCACCAAGCTGTGTTGTATGATGAAAATGAAATACTCTTGAACATTGTAAGCTCTACGGTAAATAAAGAAACACAAAATAACCCCTGAGAGGTGAGGCTGCACTTTTACCTTTACTACTACTAAGTAACATCTACTAATCTGGACACCGATAACGATATTACAGTTTATTAATACTGCTGCTTTTAATAACAACACGCCGCTACTTCCAATAAAATAATACTTCAACTGTTTTATCTTTATGCAATCCTAAAATACATGTATTCGACAACAACAAAGACAACAGCCTCATAATACTCACTATCTCAAAACTACCCATTTACACATGATATTACAAATACTACTAATGCTCTTTACGCAGATAGAGACCCTACTTATACAAAAGTCCATATGACAACACAAGGCTCTACATATCACAAAAATAACACATACAATACCACAATTATAAATACACGACTGCAATACGCTGCACAACAATAGATGGAAAGAAGACTGGTAAAAATAACACTAGTATAAAGACTTTATTACTAAAAGCAAAAGAATAACAACATCCATAGTGATTCAAACTGTGGACCCCATTAATACTAAAACACAACTATGACTACGACTGCTCTTAATAACAACAACAGTAATTGTTGACAACAACAAAGCCCAAACTACCACTACAATAATAATACAACGTATATTAATACCACAATAAAAAACACACCACTATAAGAAGTTACTATTACTTATCATAATTACTATTAATGGAAAAAAGACGAGTAAAAACAACAAGGAGCATTTTTACCTACTCTTCTTCATCCTAGTCTAATTAGTTTAAATTAAATTAAATGGCTTAAAAACTGCTTTTAAATATAATCCTGTATACGCGTAGACCCGAGTATTACCACTAATGACATAAACACAAATACTATCTACTACTACGACTGCTCCTAATAACAATAGCTAGGAGGAGATTTTTAACAACAAGGCCCTTACTAGCAATATAATAACATGTACAACTATTTTTTTAACCACAATAACAAACACAACACTAATAAGTTTCAGAACTACTAATGTGCGACTGCTCTTAATAACACCTACATTGTTGGGCCCTTACTAACAATACAACAGCAAATACAACTTATATTTCTTACACAATAACAAAGACACGATTGTTATAAGTTTCACAACTACTACTGTAAAAACCTTGCTAAAAAAACCCCACTAAAAACGGTAGTATTTCTCTCTCCTCCTCCTCCTCCTCCTCCTCCACAGATCAGCGGCTGCTGCCCGCTTCTCTCCCCGCCTCACCGTGCAGTTTGCCGGCTTGCTCTGCAGGCTTTGCAGCGTGGGGCTCAGCCAGCAGAAGCCCAGGATGAAGAGGCTGAGGATCCCGCAGGCGATCAGGAACAAACCCAGCCGGATGCTCTTGTCCTCGGCCTCCGAATACTCGTAGGAGACGCGGATCTTCGCCATGCTGAGTCCGGCGAAGAGCTCCAGTCCGCCGGCATGGAGAGGAGCGGAGCACCGGCGGAGGAGAGGAGGAGGAAGAGGAGGACGAGGAGGAAGAAGAAGAGGAAGAGGAGGTGATGTGTGTGTGTCAGCTGCTGAGGAACTGTGGAGTTTTAACACTGATCTCTCTCTCTCTCTCTCTCTCTCTCTCTCTCTCTCTCTCTCTCTCTCTCTCTCTCTCTCTCGTCTCTCTCTCTCTCTCTCTCTCCTATCCTCTCTC